ACTTTATATTAGTTTGTATTAGTTTTTACCTTTGTTTTTAAAACTTTAAATAAAATTATATAGATAAGGAAAATATTGGGGAAAATTGATTTCAGTTGTTTCTCTTTGTCAGTGATTTTTTCCTGGATAGAATGTAAGGTTCTTGCTCTTAACTCAGATATCAAGTGGCCAATGTTTTTTGGTGCTCAGTCAGTTGTTCACTGAGCAATTCCAGTGTTTTTAGCTTCCCATGTTTTAAGGAAATCCAGGGTGGGGATTTAAATGAGAGAATCTTCCAATGGGAGGGGAATTCTGATCAGAACACACAGATGTCCAGAGAAGTGGTAAAATCACAGAAAGATGAATAAGATGAGCTCCCTCCTTCATCTTTTAACAATAAAGTAAGCTTAAAAAATTGAAATTCCACAGAAATTCTAAAGCCCAATGAGAATGAGGTAGAAAAACAAAAGCCTTTTTCATAATGAAGAGTGGATTTCAGCCCAGTTTTAATAAAGCAAGCGTAGTTCACTGACTGTTTGTCTTGTTCCAGCCCAAATGGCACTATATAGGCACAAGAGAGAGTTATCAGCATGTTCAAGGTAATACAAAGTTGTACAGAAGAAACAAAAAATGTTTTTTTAGATTACAAATCCTTAAATGAAGGTGATGGAAGAGGGTGGAATCAAAACTTACAATCCACAATAGACCCAGAATGTTGACTGACTGTTAGTGTAGTGAAATAAGGTGTAATGTCCTGAACAGAAACACCCTGTAAGGCTGTGTATATGCTACAAAAGAGAGGCTTTACAATGCAGGATCTTTAAAGCAGCCATGTCTTTTTCTGACTACTTCATAAGTTGCTCCAGGGTGCCTCTCAGCCTCCTCTTTTGAAGGATTTGCACAGTCCTATTCTATGCTAAACTATTTTGCTGTTGGTTGCAGTTGTATTCTTATCTTTTAACTCTAGCAAGCTAGGCCATTTTTATTCTTTGAATCCATGGCTGAACATGAAAAATGCATGTATACAAGCAACTGTTAATGGAGCTTGAAATTCAGGGAAAAAACACCATCATCCATTGCAATCATATGTATATATAGATATGCCATGTTGGGGAAAATTCAGCCTCTCTTTATCATAGATGACATGACATTTCATGCATGCACAAGAGCTCACTCAGAAACAAGAATACTTCTGGATACTCTTACAAAATTTCTAGCTGACTTGAATTTCCTCCATGTGATTTCCTCCATTTGACAGAATGAAACATAAGTAGAGCATTCCCATGCACATAAATCAGAAGTATCTTCAAGTAATCCACACTGGCTTTTCCTGGCTCCACTGGAAGCAACACCATCAATTTTTAAGTGAAATAAGTGGCCAATTCTCAGATTTCAAATTGTAATACAGGTGTTTATTATTCTGTATAATGAAGAAGCTTAGCAAGGGAGGGAGGGTAAAAGAGAGATGGATTTTATGTCATTGACATAAAAGCTGACTGTTACTGTTGAAAGATTCACAGGCAAGGGCTACTTTGAACTGATATACAGACACAGCTGTGATCTGATAAATCTGATCCTTTAATGTAGGAATCTGGGAATAAAGCCCCTAGGAAGAACTCTCTAACAGTAAAGTTCTTGAGACATAAATATAGTTTGGATTTAGATGATAAACAAGTTTAAGAGAGAGCAACAAATTACCCAAGAATTCAAGGATAATTTCAAACTCATGCAGAAGAACCACTTGATGTTCCTTTGTTGCCCTCTCACCTTGACTGTTGCCTGGAAATATCAATCCATAATATTTGGCATCCATTCTCCAGATGATATAGAGGGCATAGGGAATGGCCTTGAAGGCAAGAGGAGGAAGGGCCACTACTAAGGCAACTGTCTGTTTTTTCCAAGACTGAATCGCATTGCCATGCTTAAGAAATATTCAACATTTATATGGATACAGGTAGTCTTCATTTAGCGACTGTCTCTTACAATGACCGTTTGCAGTTATGACTGATGAAGAAGTAACTTTGCAACCAATCCTCATATTTTTGACCTTCATAGACTCACCAGCTGTTTGAGGTCATATCCTGCTGATGCTGTAAAGCAAAGGAAAGCTGAAGTAAGATCATAAGCACAGTTGCAATTTCACTTAGCAACCACTTCGCTTAACCGAGTTGCTGGTCCTCATTGTGGTCGTTAAATGAGGACTACCTGTACAAGACATAAAACCAAATATCACGAAAGAATTATTCATATGGGAAAATTCTAGCCCCTTAAAAGACTTCTAACTGCTCAAGGTTGCTTTTACTTCTAGGTGAATTGGCCAGGCACATCATAATCTTGCTGAAATAGAAACACCTGTTTTATTGACCTTAATTACTTGTGTATCAGCCCAACAAAGACCAGATGAAGAAACCAATGCCATAGAGGTCAGGAGCTGCTTTTATTGTAACAGTCATAGTAACAGAATCTTCCCCTCCTTCCCTTTATCTTTGTGTGAACTAGGGCAGAGTTTTTCTGAGATGTTTACTCAAACTCATTTCTTGGCCTGGGTTCAAGCCCCTCTTATCTGACGTTAGCCTTAGCAGTGGCTCTTCCTCCTATCCTTCAAAGCCATTCCCCATTTCCTCTACATTATGTCAAGAATGGATGCCAAATATTATGGATTGATAAAATATTTCCAGGCAACAGTCAAGGTGAGAGGGCAACAAAGGGACATCAAGTGCTACCTTGCATGAGTTTGTCCATTGTCTTCTCCAGCAGCATCTGTCCTAGTTTAAACCTAATAATGCTATATAAGACTAAGACAACAGTTCATTTTTCTTTCAAAATGGATGAGTTTCTCCAGCTTAATATAAAGTGATAACAATTCTCTTAATTCATTTTTCATTAAACATTATGAATTAAATTTAATATACATTATGATCCTGCAGATATACTTTCAGCAGTAACCTCTTATTTAAACTTTGTATTATAACTCCCTTGTCAGCAGTTACTCTTTTTTTTTATTCACCAGCTGTTAGATCTCTGAGTATGTATGTGTTTTTAGATGGAATCAAACAGATAAACTGTTATCAGTGTAATCCTTTTGTACAAAACATTTTCCCTGTAGTAATAACTATCTATATCCCTTATTATGCTGACAATGTTAGATGTATCTGACAAGTAAAAGTAAAGTTTCAAGTAAAATTTAATTTCATAATGAGCTAGAGCTAGGTTTGGGAGCCCCTGCAAACTATGGGTCCATGGATGATCACCCAGAGAGGAGCAGGTGAAAGGGATAGTGGCATCATCAATGATAGAGTGACCAATCTGATCACTACAGCAAATGGGTCCACAGGGAGATCAGTGATATTGCACATGTCATGATGTTACTGTGTAAATATAAAGAATTATGTAATTTGTGGAATGATATTAATGATGTATGTGACATCATTATGGTTTCTACCAGATGCCCATTCTATAGCATCCTTTCTTGCTTGCTTGCCTGCCTGCCATGATCATGGTGGCAAATGGTTTATTATTTTTACATTAAATAATCATGTCGTTCTACAACAAAATGGTGTTTATTCCAAAGGAAACCTGTTTATTATGAGGGCAATAAAATCTATGTTATTTCTATAGGTATGATTAAGTAAGATATGACTTACTTAAAATAGGTAAAGGTACATACCATACATAATCAAAGTATTATTTTATCGAGATTGGCAAACATACTTTTTTCCTTTATTGAATCAGAAATGTAGAAGCATTTCTGTCAGAAAAGTTAGCTGTGCATTTTATAAATGCAGCAATACAACACCAGAATCTACCCCCTCCCCAATCATTAATCAAGGATCTAAAATTATATAGCTGCCTCACCACATGGTGATTTATTATTCATTAACACTCTACTCACATAATGAGACTTTTTATATTAGATAGCACAAATGTATGTCTGTAGTCTGTGCTGCAAAAAATCAGAGTTTTACAATTTTGGGATGCCTTCTACAATGTATTCATAAGTGTTTGGCCAACCAATGGTAGATTTTTGCATAAGACCCAACAGCCCAGGGATGTAGAGGAATATTTGCAAATAAGCCAGTTTGGTGTAGTGATTAAGGCGTCAGGCTAGAAACA